TTTTTGTTTATTTTTATTCAATAATAACAAATTAGGGAATAGAGAAGCCCTTGTATATTGTTCACAATACACAATATAAAATTCATACTATACATTTAAATGAATATGCAGCAAAAATAACCATATTTACTTTCGAAGTTGTCCTAGGTAACTAAATGATTCGTATACTAGAAAGCAAATCATATCGTAAATTATTCGAAATATCTTTAGAATGATATTTGAATTACTGAATTGTTTTATCCACGTGAAACAGTTGCGAGAGCACGGTTACCATATGAAAAGAAATTTGTAAAATCGTGGGTACTCCCGTAGTATGTGAACCAAGATGGCGGATACCGGAACGTAGTACGTGTACCCGGGAATGGTTAGGCCCTAATTGTATTCCAATTTCCTTTATTTCAGTTCTATTACGTGTTCGCGGACTAGCCACGTGACTCCCGTAGTATTTGTACCTGAAATTATGGCCTAACTCTAACCTGGTAGACACATACGACGTTCCGGTGTCCGCCATCATGGTTCGCATACTGCAAGAATACCAAATCGTGTCCTAAAAACACAGACAACCAATCACCCAAAAGTAAGCCCTTTTGTTCAATGTATAAAAATTAGTATCTTGAAAAGGTATTTTAGATCCTCGTCGAAAGTTACAAAAGTAGATGTGGCAATTGGAATATCCGAATCGATAATTTGAAGATATTTGATTACGACCAGTCCCATTTATAAATCCAATTGGAATTGCTTGCTAAATGTGATGAGTGATAAAACGGTAACTTGTTAAACAGCAATCCTGAAATAAATTGCTTTCCGAGGCTGCACACACTCGACGAAGTTCGTAACGAAAACAAACAACCATAACATACAATTACTTAATTAATATATAACAAGATTGTCTCACAAAATCACGGAAGTACCTACACCTATAAGTACAAATCGTGGTATTATCTGAAAAAGCCACTTTCCGATTGTCAATAACATTCAATTAGATCGGATTAAATGATTTGTACACGTTTTCTCCTGTTTAAAACCATCAATGTTGTTTATTGTCCAAATGCCGATATTGTTAGGTACAAACGATTTCAAGTGCGTAATGATATATCGGATTGGATGTATTGTGTATTTGTGCGGAAATATATTTCGAATAGACTACTGTCTTTGTGTTGCTCGGCTTTTTGTATTAGTGATAGCAGCAATCAACGACGCAAAAATTGTAACTGGTAATTTAAACCGGTATCCCCATAGCGGCATTTCGCTACAAGTTTTTTGTTGGGAATGACAAACTCTTCATACCCAGTAATACCGTGAACAGAACTCTTGAAAACCTCATATTCACTGGAAAACGAAACGAAACAAAGTTTTACGCCCTATTTCCTGGTAACAAGGCCTTATTTTGATCTTCATGGGGCACCCAGTCTATAGCATATATGCTAGTATTCGTTCTGACTGGCCTACCGGTCCTTTAATACCATTCTAGTTTTGTTTGTTTCCATGTATAACAGACAATTTTTTTTTTTTTTTTTAATTTTTGTAAAAATATTGTCTACAAATTCAATATGAATTCCGCCAAATAGTAACATTGCACGTCATATACAAAAAATAAAATTAAAACAGAAGTTTACAGATAGCCTTGGAGTCTTTTAGAGTTAGACAAAGCCTTTCGAAGGTTGATTATGGAAACGATTTGCCTCAGAAAAATGACAGTCATCTTGTCTTATTTGACCCATCCATACCTATCCCATTGGGTTTCAATCGCGGCTTCCGAGGAAGAACTTCTCTCAAATACTTACCGAGATAATATCAACCTGCGACCGATTGCGCATTCCAATAACAGGAGACGTGTACCACAATCTGCATGAGTAATACAACATGAATATTACACTTGTTTGTGGTAAAACTACATGAGAGTTTGATATACTGATATGCACAAGTAGATTAGGCGAGACGTGATTGTGTTGTAAGCATCATTCCAGTATAAACGTCGTAGAAGGAATGCATCGTGGGATATTGGAGATGACCAAAACCAAAGATTTTACTATTTCGAATACATTTTCAAATATGAAATATCGAATGCATTCTTAATCTAAAAACTGCATAAATCACTATATTTTCAAGTTGATCATGTCTAAAACGACCTAAATTCAAAGGTTATTGTTTTCTTTGTGTTGTTTGGTTCCACTTAAGATATCATACGTTTTGATCTACTTGTCCGATGGCTGATAATTATTGCCAAATTTAAAAAATCATTATATAGAATACAATGAATTTCGAATATATTCGATTCGTTTTGGCCTCCCTGGACTTTTAACCATTCCCAATTTCATTAAATTTTCATTTATCCGAAATGAAATTGTTTTGGATTATCTATGGCCATATATATTCCCCACTCATATTCTTGTGATTATTACTCATTGAACTGAATATTTATTCTTTAATAAATTCGAACAGAAAAAACATACAAAGTTAGGACCAAATTTCATTCGTTGTCAATTTTTTCACTAGAATGTTTGTGACTCATCCGCGCCCTAATTTTTGAACTCACTTTTTCATTGCATTATTGGCATTATCATTATCGATCCTAAGATCGGTAAGTATGTTGATAGGTATTTGTCTGTCTGTATGTCTGTTTGTTTGTCTGTTGGATGAACGCAAGGTTGAATCTGCTCCAAATTTTGCATGTGCATTCATCATATCTCGGACCAAAAGCCTATTGATTTTGGATGAATTATGTCGTATAATTAGCTAGTTATTACCATTAATTAATGATGGGACACGCGGTGTCACTATAGAGTCATTAATCGAAACCGCAGTTTCGATCGATAAGTCTTCGGTCTCCAACCGATTTTCTCGTTTCATAGTTATTTGATTCAGCAGTATTTTGTTAGGTCGAGTTACTAAAACTGATTTTAAATTAGTTACAGCAAAACTCAATTTCTTGGCGACGTAAAGTAATTCTCCATCGTATTCATACAAAACGATTCGAATAAAAAATGAACAATTTTGTTTTCAGAACTTTCTTCATTTTTTAGTTTCTAGAATTGTTGTAATCATTTGTACAATAATATTAAAAAAGAAAAAATAACAGGTGCATATCAGTTTTGTTGTGTGCGTCTTTTTTCAAGTTTGCTCGTGATATTCCACAAAGTTCACCCGAATAAATCAACTGAAAATAGAAACATAATATATGGTATACATATGCAAATAATGTGCCAACATTTGTATATATTTGCGGCACATTTACATCATACAATTTATAATTTATCGAATTATATAGTAAATTTCATTAATGTGAATTCTCAGAATCCGCTTTAATTAATTATACAAAGTTGACGTTACGTTGAACCTTACGCAACGTTACGTTTTTGCCAATGACCGGAAGTAGTTTGATGAATTTGTTACGTTTCGGAAGCGTTGCCATGCAGGTGTCCAATGCTTGGTTAGCGAAGAGAGCGTGAGAGCCTGACCTATTATGTATTTATTTTTAGTATCCAAATGTAGGCGTCCATCCAAATGAAACATTTTCCCAAGCCCTAAATACAGGAATGAACTTTTCAAAACCTTTCGTCATACATTACGTACGGGAAACATCATCGATTTGCATTTTTCAATGAAGTCACTTCAGTCCAAAGACCATTCACAACTTTTTCTTCGTTATCGCTTTTGCGTTGGCGTATTTGAGAGTACTCTATATAGCAAAGGTGTCCAACTCAGAGCCCTTCGATGCGCTGCTCCAGAATCCACCAATAATTTTCATATTTTGTGAGGTTTTTATATAACAGTGATGCATTTTTCAGACACGTGATCAAACTTTTATCCACCCAGCTAAAAGGTGAATAATTAAAATTACAATAAAAATATTGCATAGAGTAAGTAATACTCGATATTTCGTGAGCTATGGTCTCCTATTTGCTGAACGTCACAATCCATGGTTTCTGGCTTTGTATAAAGGTAAAAAATGGATGGATGGTTTTATATTATTTGTGAGTTATGAAAACAAACAGTTATGCAAGACATTTAATAGGTTAGGTAAAATTTTATATAATTAATACTATACTAGTATCAATCATAGTCAGTAACTGGTAATACCAAATATGTAAATAAGTCCATACGCAAACTCCTAATAAAGAGTTGATGAAGAGTGAATCTTTCAACACAAAAATTTCTTATGAATGGTTGTTGTGTTACGACTTGGTTAGTTTGGACCGATCGCTTTTGTACCAACTCAAGTTTCTGATTCATATTTAACAACTTTTCCAAGATGAATGGCAAGCAAAATTCAAATTATGTTAACTTTATATTATGCGTTTGGATTACTCAGAACCTGACCTATCGCACGCACATACATTATATAACGAAACTTTCACAACATTGACCTACAAAACAGACTTTCAAACATTCAAACTTACAAAAGCCATACGATGCAGTGAATAGTGCACCGAGTTTCTACAACCCTATGACCTTGATATTGAAACAGGGAAGATAAGTTCAAATTGTTTCCCACCTTTAACCAACGGATGTACAATTTGTCAGTACATATTTGGCGATATCCGTGTCACGAGTTAGTATACCGTTGAAATTAGGAAATTAGGTGCCCATCAGACTTCACCATATATAGCCACTATGTTTCGTCCGCTTTTCGGCTGATGCATTTAAAATAGTAGGATATCAATTGGCATGGGTTACCTCAGCGGATTACATCGCAATTCCGTATTTGGGAAATATATTTCAAAATTGAAATGTCGATTGAGAAATGTCATAGTTTCTCGAGAAAAACAAGACACAAATTAATAATATTAAAACACCTATTTTAAGCAAAAAGGAAATAGTTTGATTTTTATCTGTATCTTGACAAGATTTCAAATTACATTTAAATATGCTCCAACATTTTGATCTCTGCTTCAATTTCATTTTAATTAAAAAATTATATATTAAACATAATGTTCATTTTGACCTCTGGTTCTTTTGTTATCTCCAACTTGAAGATCATACGTTTTACTTGATTTTAGAATCCCCCACCTAGACAAGAAGAATATTCCATATTTCACAACGAAGGAGCGGGATCCATAAAAAAGAACAAAACAGAGGCGAGTCAAAAAAAGAACCGAACTTTTAACACTCAAACTTCCAAGTCTGAATCACTTCAAACGAAAACTCCTATACATTCCGTGAAGAAAGCATCACTCAGCCAAAAGAGTTCAAGTATTCGACCACAGCCGATTGATACGGCGGCCTTAGAAATTCGCTCAGGTAAGTGGCATAATTAAAAAGCGTAACTAACGGGTTTGCTGCCGAAAATACACTTCTAACTACTGTGTAACTGCACCGAAATCTATTATCAACGTTGGCGCTGCATATGTTGAAACGTGTAAAAAGAGTTTTGTGTAAAATGTAGGAACGAATGTAGGCATTTCAAAGTGGTAATAAAAAGCGAAGGAACAAAAAAGCCGTTCAAAACAAGTACCGACATGCTTGTTTTCGAGGAGGGACTGAAATAAAACATTTTTTAAACAATATCATTCGAAAAGTTTGTTTTAAACTTTTAATGTTTGCAATTTATAGCGTACTGATTATCTGGATTCGGAAAAAACAGTAGTTGGTATATAGGCGAAGCTCATACTTTAATTATTATATCCTGGAGTAGTTTGAGATGCATTAGAAAGTCAGCTGTCATATATTAGATGACTAGATGACCAGAAGTAGATGACTACTGCACGCAGTAGCATGCTTATGAAGCGATATACCGATATAATTCGGATATGACGTGTCTTTAAGACACTGATCCAAAACTGGAAAAATTCTGATCCGCAAAAAAAAAAAAAAATGTCATATATTTTATGAGACTTACTTTTACTCACGAGAGGTTGCTATGTGTAAGCTGTCGATGCGATAATAAGTAAGGAAAAGTAAGAAAATTCTTCTGTTTCGACACTTTCTACTCAATTTATTACACCATGTGTGGAATAGTGATCATAAAGTTTTACCTGAGGTTTTTTACCTGCGTGATTAGTTTCTATGTTCCGACCACTGGGATATCGTCACTTTGTTAAGACTTGCAAACTTAGAATTTAAATGGTACATTCTCACGATCTTTTTTAACACAAAGTGTACATATGGTTCGTTTTGTTAATATATTGTTGTTGATCTTGTTAGTCATTCTTTGATGATGAAAAACTCGCTTTTCTCTTTAATTATAGGACCAATTGCTTTGAATTATTTGTGGTTCGAGATTGTTGTCGCTAGAGGGCTATTACTTTTATTTATTTTCAAAATTTCTATGCGCTATATGGAATTGTTTTTTTGTATGCTAAGACGTCATCAAAATTTAAAATTGCGCACCATGTGGCAGTCCCGCGTTCGCGTTAGTTCTGGTGGTCGGGTGAAGACTGCGGTAGCGGTAGTCTATTGTGACAGATTGCATACATACATACATACATACTATTTTGATTTGGTATTCGTGCCCATATTTTAGCATCGCTTTTTTGTATTTTCTAGAACAAACTCGACCCCAGGAGTCTTCTAATGAAAAACATAGTGAAACCTCGAAGAAGTCTAGTTTCGCGTTTCCGGCGTATGGATATCCGTCTCAGACAGATTCAAATATTAAGTTACCTTCGGGTAACACAAACCAGGTATGGAACTATATTGCTTGGGGTATGAAAAAAAGTTAGGTTCGTTCATTTTTGTGGCATGTTATGGCTTATACTATAAGCCAGTAATGGGTTGGTGTAGAATGTGATGTACTGAATAAATGTTTATGTGGAGCATATTATCTGATTTTCCTTGTCAAAGCGTGTTATGGCGGCATATCTAGCGCCTAATTCGTTTACCCATATCTGAGCATTTCCTTATTCTAATGCAAAATTATCAACTTTTAAAGCAATACAGTGGTGTCAACTATAGGGTGACCCAGAAACAGAATTCATGAATTTCGTAATTCGAATTTCGTTCCGTTCGAATTTCGTTTGGGTAATCTTGTACAATATGGCCTTAATTTAAGAATATACTGACATTGTCGTATGCTTGTTACTTTACTTACTCACTTACAGAAAACTACCGAAGTCGTTGCGAAGTCTCCATCTATCTCAAACGTTCTTGCCAAGAATACTGTTATCCTACGAAGCCCGGGATTGAATAAACCGACGCCTTTATTAAGTGCACTCACTGCTAATACAACAGATAAATCTTTCCCAAACCAGAGGTCACTTTTCAGTGTGTTTGGACCGATACAAGTCCAGTCTTCGTCAGCAGGACAACCGAAAGATTCGACTTCTCAGGACACTCAACAACCGTCATCCGCCGTTCAACTGCAGTCGCCACAGAAGTCCAAGGTTCCCACTACCACAACACACTGTGTACCCACTATATCTTTAGGAACGAAACGAAGCGGTGAGCCGCAGTCTACGTCTTCAAAAACGAGTGACGCACCTAACGCGAAATCTAAAAGATTTTGTTCTGATGACTTTTTAGCGAGGAATTACGCCGTTTTTCAGGAATTTTCGATCCGCAAAAAGTAGGTATCGCTTAAAAAGTTTATCAAGTTTATGCCGTTAAGTTCCCAAGCCGTATTGAGTGCGCAATTATGGGAAATTGACTGGAGTTCGAGGGTTTTCACCTCACAGCAACAGTGCCGATATTGACAAACGTTTCTTCGTCAAACACTTATGCTCAGTATCAATGTGTAGACTGTGCTGTTGCAAATAATTTTTGCAATCGTGTAACGGTGTTTGACAGTCACATTTGTAAGTTTTGCTCTACATTAAAATAGAAATACATGAAAACTCGAGTGGTATTCGATTACGCCTAGAAATCTTTTAACGAACCACCGACAGGGGTTGCAAATCCCAGTTTTGAAATTTCAAACCCACCTCAAAATGGATGCTTTTCCTAGCATAAACTTTCTTGTTTATTTGCTAATTAGCAATATATCAAAAATGGATGATGTATGAAATGAAATTCTTTCAGCTGCCCAGACGCTTTAATCAGCCAGACAGATTTTCATGCGTGGTTTCGAATATTGGCTCGTTCCTAGTTTTGAGTGTATTTGGGTATGATTCAAATAGCTCAACGGTTATTTTTGGTTTCGTTGAAATAATCAAAAAAATATTCCCGAAATAGATTTGATAGATAGCTAAAATTAACTATCAATGATTTTAAATGGCAAGTTGGTTAATATTCTGAATCAAAATGATGACCATGAAACATGTACACCAGTTTGTAAGCGCCAACTCACGAAAACTTTTTCAACACAATCATCAAAACTTTTCAATGTTAAAGTATGGAAAGAATTTTCTGGAGTCAAAGATTGGGATGTCAAAGTTTAGGAACAGTCATTTCCTTTGAATAGAAAGTATTCAATGAATCGCTCTTAGCATTATGGATTCCATATTTGTCATTGTTTTAGAAGGAAGAATTCATTTTATGGTGTATTTGATGAAGTTTCAAATGAGGACGACAATCTGAACGAGTTGTCTCTTTTTCAAACTATGAACTCAAAATCGTTTTCGAGGGAAGTTATGACGTCATTGGAGGCCAGTTTAGAGGCAAGTAATATCATCAAACTCTCTTAAACGTGTCCTATTCCACTTGTTCAACACTTGTCCCGATTACTGTACATATCTACCTTACTTGTACCACTTCTCACACTGTTCTGAGTTTAATTTAGAATAATTTGTTTTATTTTATATGAAGTGAGATTCGTGCTATGTTCTGAGTTAGGATTGTAATACTTAGGTCAGAAGTCTAAAGTGAGCATGCGTTGTGAGATTTGTACAGTTGTGGCAAGTGTGGGATAAGTGATTCAATTGTTGTGCAAGTGGGACTCGGAATATTCGAAACACCTCCTTTAAGTTTCGTTCTTTCGTTTTCAGGTCAATTATCGCTACACTTATTTTCTAAAAGAAGTATCAAGTCGAATGACCAGAACTGCATACCCACCACCTGAAGTTATTTACGTCATCATGAAACATATTTTACTGGTAGGTTATATAGCTGTTACAATTACCGTTGTGATTTGGTATCATTAGTTATATAAATGAGACCAGCACGAAGCGAATTACTTTATCAGTACTGATTCAATAAGATTAAGACTGGAATTTTTTAAATTGTAATCGCGGATATTCATAAGTTCATAGCCAAATAGGTATAATAGAAAATTCAATTCGATTTTCTCCTGAAATCTGCGTAAATGGGTGTAACAATGCATCATTGTCACTAGTAGATGAGGTAACACAAGGCATTTCTTATATGAATGAATATAGCTGTACTCACTTTGAATTATTCAAGTTCAATGGGACGTTTAACATTGGCTGTTTTCAACTCCCATTCTTACGTGATAGAACACATCTTATATCAACTTCTAAATTTGAGCTAGATGAGAAGTATTGCTTCTGGTAGTGACCACTCAAGCAATAGGTTTTATTCAAATTGGTCGACAACTTCCAGACAAACAATCAGAAGTTTGGGAATTACTGATATAGAAGTCCCCAATTATAATATCGAAAGCAGAAACAAAACAGTAAACGAGGCTTTTTTAATATAGATGTCAGCACTGGTTGAGTCGTCATAGCGTTACAATATAGGAAAACAAACGAAACCCGATTTCTTTTAATCGAACTACACATTTATATAGATGAAAATTTTTAGGATTCAGAAGACAGAAATTTATCGAACAACGCGTTTGACGTTTTGCAAAGAATTCTACGACTGCATTCACCACAATCTAATGATTTAAAAAACGAGAAACTATACCACAGGGTAAGCTTATTCTTCAATTTTAAGACTTATGTAATATCAAAACAATGCTGACGTGCATAACACCATTGAACATTTTTTTCTCCTCGAAAGATGGTAAGGTAAGCTTGGAAAAAAGGAGAAATTTGAATGCCGAATACATGGTGAACAATAAACAGAACCCATAAATTTCTTAATTACGAAAATGAAGAAAATTTAATAACACTTGAACTTCTGTTTGCGTAGGATTATACGCGAAGTTTCACAATATGTTTTAATTGGCCTGGATCTATTTTTGGGGCACCTTGTACTAAAGCCATTATATTTGTGGACATGTGGATCTTTATAGTTAATGCATTGATTTTGCTATTATAATTCCCGCTTAAAAATCCGTTTCGAACTATAATCAATCAGGCCCACCCATAGCTCTATTCTGATTTATATAAAATTTAAACCATGTTGAATTCAGTTGCTTCCATACCACTCTTATACATGCTTATACATGCTTAAATTCCATCTTAGATCAGGGTTTCTCAGACTGGGCCATTGGCCCCCGATTCTGTCGGGGCCATGATCAGAGGCCCTCGCTATGTACCACTCGCGATGTCTACATGAATTTAGATAAAATTAACTGGAATTTGTTTGATTCTTTGACTGTAATGCATTTATTTTTTACTTTCGTCTGTTTGATTGCAACTTACTAGTTTTTTTTGCAGAAAAGCAGATGTAAGTGTTAGTCTTTGGGGGGTCACAGATCATAAAAGTTGGGAAACCATTGTCTTAATTAGAGACTTGCTAAGAGAGAAATTGCCTGAAATACCCCATCTTTAACCAAAATAGATTGTCTTGGTATTTTTGGCGTGTTTCTTTGGTTTCCACAAAATCTGAAACGTCATATGATATTGTCATCACTTCAAAGTCGTTTCTATTGGTAAGGTTGCGGTCAAATGAAACTCAACCTACCTGATCAGTAATAAATAATCACGCTTAACCAATAATGAGCCATGGATAATTCCTATATAAATACTAATTTCATTCGCATGTCATATTTGATCTATTATAAAATTGAATACTATTTTGCAGTCTTTTGCTCTCATGACAACTACGGAAGCAGACGAGACTTCGACAATCATGGCTACAATAGGAGATATGCTGTCTAGATCCAATAAAGCTGATTGGTCGTACTGGACGAGCAGGGACCCATCCCTCGGCGTTCATTGGACGTTTTTTTCCCGCGTTATCAAGTAAGTACAACAGTTATGTCGTGGTATTAACCGCTTTTTGTTCGTATGCACCCCTGGTAAATTGTCATGCGTTCTTGGGTACCCTCAGAAATTGAGAATCATAACAGAACTTTAGCTATGTTTGGTTTTATATTGGCGTCTAATTTTTTTAACATTGGTTCTCATGGAATATAACAACTTTTTAAATTCTGATATACCGGTATTGGCTTGAATTCTTATTTGAAACACGCCATGCATTGAAAAGTAAGTAGTATAGCATGCCGGAAAATTGTTGGTAACCTATTTGAGGTATGCATCGATGCGGGTACGTGTAATTCTATTAATAAAACCATTGATTTCGGACGAAAAATCGCCAAAATCGGGAATTGTCGCATCGATAGTCTCTCTAACCTGAAATTACAGATATAAACTATATATCTCCACAAATTTGACTTTTAATTGTATTTTTTTCGTTTTTGAAATGATGCTATTTTGAAATTTTCATTTGGTGAATGGTACCGTAGGCTCTACGTATTTGGCATACGTCGCGGACGAAACCTATTTAAATTCTTCAAATTTGTACTTGCGAATTACCTTGTGTTGGACGTTTTTTTGCAAATTTCATGAAGTCGGGAACCGGTGTCAGAATTTCAAACTACCAATCATTGATAGTTTGAGTAAAATCTTCGACAGAAGCACATAAAGCATCAAGTTAACTAGGTATTATTAAATGACATGTTAGAATACTCGAATAATATGCAGAAGTTTTTATTTTTAAAATTTGGTTATGTCGGAATTCTGAACTGTCATCGGAGGCGAAACAGTAGTCAAAATTTTTGTTGACCATAATTTGGAAGTCCGGAGTCGCTTTGAATAACTCGGAGTTTAGGTGGGAGTCTAATGGGTGTAAAATTGCGCGACTACACAGCCTTTCTCGATTTGGACACAATAGAAGAAGAACAGACCTAACGTAATGCTAATGGCACTTTCTTATATTTTTTTTATTTAGAATGGCAATTCAACCTGCAACAACGACGTACGGGCAAAATGGAGTCAAAAATGAAAAGCTTTCTCCGCAAAAAATTCAGAATGCAACTTTACTGACGAATTTCTTGACAAATGTTGTCATCAAAGATTACCATGACGTTCTAACAAAGTGAGAGCTTAAGTTTTTTTCAGATATTTATGACATAATCGTTATAAAAAATAGGGATGGGAAATTTTGAATCGAATATTTTTTTCGAATCGAATCTCGAACACTTGGAAAAAATAATATAATTGTATGTGATTTTTCCATTGTAATGGGTCCTCCAGACACGTAAATTACTGAAAACATTGAATCTATCACTCAGACAGTTCGCTGAGTTTATTTTTGCAAAAATTGAGCTATTTTTACCCGATCTCAAATTTTACTCAGTTACGCCGTCTACCGTTTGAGTGTTGGCTATTTCTACGATATCAAAGTGATCGTTTCAGGCTAGGTTTTGGTCATAGGATATGAAATCTTGTTGTTAATAAAATCAGTTATGTGTGTTTGTGATTCGAAAACAACGAATCCGGATTTCTAAAATGTCGGTGTCAAATTGTATTGCATCATAATATTTGAAGTTTTTTCCCAGTGCTGCTAGTTTATAAATGACGCTACATATGTATACATATATATATATATTGTTTTCGGTAAGTACTTGTTCTTAGCCTTACTCGTAGCAAATTTTGTAAAACTCTACAAGTAACTATCAACTCCAATCGTTTATACCTTTGCTTTCCAGGAATGAATACTCCTCTAACAGCTCAATCATAAAATGTCTCATCGCTGACCTCTTGTGGCCTACAATGACAGGATTAGAACCTTGGTTCAGGCGGCCATCACCTAATCTAGCTGATTTGGTGACGTTATTTGTAAAATCTGCGGAATCTCATCTTTCTCATTTAAACGCCCAAATGCCGCAAGAGGATGAAGATGATGATTTACGTAAGCACGTTATTCCCCTGTTCACAATTTATTATTCATAAAAATTGACAAGTTGTACTATTTTTATCTTCCAATAATATTATCTGCCTCCATTTGAAATTTGTTTTAGAATCAGATTCAGCAATGACAGCCCGATAAGCCATCCATGGAGTAAGCGACAAACGACCATTAATCCATCTCTACTCCTAACTTTACTGTTCCTGCTTGCCAACGTGACGTGATTCATACGCTATCGCATCACGGCTTACTAAGAATTTGACACTATAAATAACATATTAGAAAGTCATGTTTTGACCTATAAAATAATATCACTTTAAGTCTAGCGATGTCATGTTCATATCCAAATACACACGGTGTTCATAAGGTCATGTGAGATTTCAATTTTGTTATGTCAGTTCTCAATATATACTAACCATGTTTATCAGTGTCTAATCTACTTCATTTAATTCACCTTTATACGTCCATCAATAGATAAAGCACATCAACGTTTTTCTACCTGATTAAATACAGGACTTTATGAATACCCTGGATATTTTAAATCGGGGGTGTGTAACAGGCGGCCCGCGGGCATCAACCCAGCCTCTAGGCTTTTAAGTGTGACCTATGCTAATTATTCATAATGTTTTTTGCTTTTTTTGGCACACTAAATTTTGCCGTTTTGCCCGATGCCTTCTTATTGTAAGGCTAAGCGATAGCCACTTTCTTTTCTTTTTGTGTGGCCCAGATAGATGTCTGAAGTTGGTTGACCCACCGACACAAAATACTGCACGCACACCATTGTTTTAAAATAGTTAAAATATTTCCATCAATACCAGACAATACAGATGTTGATTTTTGGACAAAATCAAAATCAAAAATTTCGGCAATCTGATCCGGAAAGCGAACGGTTATCGCGGCTTGAGCAAATGGGTCAAAAGAGGCACGAGATTGCTAAAAAAAGAGGAGGCACACTGTAATCTTGCATAAAAAAGAATACCCGCTCGGGTCCCGGTATCTCCAAAATGTCATATCCCATTTGTTCTACTTTTGTACCATTTGCCTCACTCGCACCACTTGTACCGCTATTATGGGTTGGATTAGGTATATAACTTTAAGCAACTGGTTAGAGTAAGTATACGAAAAGGAATTCATGGTATGCCCTGGATTGGATGGACATTTTGTGGACCAAATGTTGATCAAGTAACGCAGATGGCGAATGACATGTTTGAGACATCGCCAAGTCCCGCCTTGATCTAGCTTCCAAAACGACCATACCAGTACTACACCGGCCGAGATTGTGACATCACCATACCCCATACCTGGTATTTTTATTTCTTTCCTTAATACCCCTGTAATATTTCAGTTGAGAGCGATGAAGATACTGAAGAACCCGAACTACCTGATCCATGTGAACAAAGTTTTATCATATTTGAGCATATGTGTCGATTAATAACTGTGACAGAATCTTGGTGTATACATTGTGATGTACGTGATAAAGAAAGAGGAAAAAGAACAGGTATAATATATATGTACAAGGTGACCAAAAACAGAACCGATAAATCTATTAGTTACTCACAAAATGAAGAAAATTTAACTAACACCTGAGTTTCCGTTTGTGTATGATTATAATCTTGGACCTTTTACACAGAAGTGATGTTCAGATTACCAATGATTGCTATCTTCGTGCCTATGAATTCCACTTTTTTGTCCTTTACAGTAAGACGACGATAAATGCAGTATGCGGGCCCAATAAACATGCAAAAGGGGCAACAGAGTGTTAGAAGTGTCGGATTACGGCACAATGGATTAAATTTGGCGGAATTTGTGATATAAAATTTTCCACCCTTTGAGGAATAATTACCGCTTGCGTTTCTGAAGACTTTCTCTCTATTCCAGAGCCACATAACTGAATCAAAGCTTACTGTGATACAAAAGCGTTTTTCTTGCTTCATATATTTCTCTGCTTGATGAAAAGCTTCCTTTATTTTATTTGAAACTTTTGGATGTTTTGTATTCACCATCATAATGTATTTTTGCGTAAAAATTAACTGCCCGCCATATATTCGTTTTTCTCGAGTCAAGACGATTTTCTTATAAATAGGATAAGTTAAAAATCTCTGCTTTGCGGCTTCAAGATCTTCTCGATTCTTGACGACAATCTCTTTTGCCATACCATTTACGAAGAGATCGTTCCATTTGGCCACCCTGAATATATTCGCTTCTGTCGTATCGCAATCCAAACTCACGTCGCCTTTATATTCCGGCGGTAATTCTAGAAAATGTCGAGGCAGATTAGATAAAAAATCTTCAACACTTGAAACAGCGATTTGTATTTGTGAAAAACGTTCAGCACCGTCCATTTTGTTGAGTTGAATTAGCTTGATAGTCGATGAGTTTTTATAAATATAAAAATCACTGTAAACATATTGTAACTTATTCATAATTTACGGACGAAAAAGATTTTTTAAGAAGCCTAACAATGTGGAATTTCCCTTTTTTTCTAATTTTTTAAACTCATACTTCAAACATCGCGTCAGTCGCTATTTCCTGGCGCGTAATTCTATATACAGTGATTCTAGATCATTATTTTCGCCGTTAATTTGATACTTTCCTCTCATTTACATTTAATAAGTGCGCGTAACCTTGCTAAAGTGAATATTGTCAAAGTAAAACAAATTGCTATAATTTCATGACTTATTAGGATATCAAAATATCATTACTGATCTAATCAAATAAAATTGATATTTGCCAGTAATTATTACAAAATCTCTCAATTTCGATTCTTTCTCTATCTACTGAATTACAAATTTTTGTTTATAACATGAAATGACCACAATAGATATGAGTGTACTGAGTCGTGACTGCTATTTTAAACGTTCGCTGATTTGGCATCCTATCAATTTATAGATTCAGGTTTGACATGACTAAAGGAAGACTAAATTCTCCAATTGGGGGATTTCCTGTTGTTGAAATTCGTTTCTCATTTTAAGTAGATTTTTAATCACCACTGCCACGTTTATTTATATCCGAATTAATGACATTTTGTTGCAATCTTTTGTAAAATGTTGAAATAGCTTGATCAATAATAAGGATATAGCAATATAACGACGCGAGATCATGCTCACTAGATGACGTCTGCTCACTGAGAGATCTCTATAATGCCTTGTCCCACTTTTTCCATATTTGTCCGTCCTACTCGTCTCACACTTTTTCAAAATCCATATACCTACCTCATATGAATACTTTAAAACCTTCTGCCAAAGTGTTATGTCAATCGTACCCCAGAATCTAGTAGGAATTCGACTCCTGACGTTTAGTTTTTGTTCAACGATATACATCTATCCTAACTCAGAACAGTAATACAAGAGTAGAATAAATTGATAAGTGTGATAATAAGGTGGTAAATGATACATGACATTTTAGACACCTCTCGTTAAGTTACCGACAACGATACTTTTTTCATCTTTACAATCATGTATTGGTCTTTAATTTTTTTTTGTTTCTTGTTAGGATCTCGATCTTTCGAGTCTGATCTTGTATCGACCTTACGCTTTGAATTAGAAGAAAGAAAAATCGAAGTTTTAGAGTTAATTTTGCAAAATATTCCACCGAGATTGAGAATAAAAGTCAATGTTGCTCTTATACAAGAAATTTGCTCAGATGTTCTAGTGGCGGATACTGTTCAACCAGATGCAGGTATACCTTTGAATTTTATTCCTCAATTTTATAACTCAATTATCCCCATATAAATATTGCGATCTATTGGATTTCTGTGAGACTGACTCGTCATCTTATTTATGTGTTTTTTTCGTCGGTTGAAACATGCATATAATGCAAGGATGCTGAGGCCAGAGTGAAGATATCTGTTCTACGTGATGTCAGAGTCATGCTGTTCATTCCATAACACATATGTGTTTCTGTTTCGCTTCTCCGACCGACCCCATACAGTGTTCATGATTTTCTAATTGCTCCAAAAGTTTGGCTCAGGCTAACTCAAATATGTTTCAGACGTTTGAAGTCTGAGTTTCGTTAGACGAAACCGTACAGATAACGTTTTTTTTTCGTTCGTTTAACCACCAATCGTTTAGATACCAATCAAAAAATAAATAAACATTACTACATTTCCTGCACTTATTTCCAATTTCTTGATGGCCTGTCCTTTTTTATCCCAGTTTCGCTAGTGCTATATGCGCACCCCAGGTTAAATTTGGAATGAAAAATCGGGCCCGTATCCCTGTTTGGAATGTAAGAAAAGGAATTACCCCGATAGCGACATCTTCAATCTTCAACTACCGAAAATTTGACACCGAAAAGTTTGGTCATTGCAAGATGATCGATTATTTTATGATAAAAACCCGCCACGAGCGGTGTCCAATCACCTTGACTATGTGTGAAACTTGTGACGACTACCTCTCCTCTTCAAAATGTTATACATTTTGCCCGACTTTTGTTTACGCTAGTCCTTACTTCAATGTTTAAGTTATTTCTAATAATATGAATCTCTCACCTCCATATCTTACAGCAAGCCACAATTAGTATAAGTAAAGTTTATATCATGTACTGGTACATCGAATTGTATTTTTTTAGAGTTGTCTTTGGAACTTATCACTTCACGACATATGCAAATGATGCCATCTGTTTTACAAGGGGAAGAAAAAAGTTCTGATAACGCGTAAGTTCGTGATGTTACCTCGATAGAGGCAAACTAACTTTAGACTAATTTTATTATCACTTTATTCACTTCTAGGGTGATTTTTAGTTACTATACAAAGGCATAGTTAGGATTTTGGTCTCCGAAATCGGTGGTAAAGAAATAAATTACTGACTATGGAAGTTGTAACATGATATTTATTTCGCAAAGACTTAAAAGCATAATTTTAGGCCTTTTATCCTACGCTTGTTATGTTATACTAATAAAAGTTTCATTAATTACGACTTATTCGACCAACATGTATGTCTCTATTATAATGCCATCCATCCCTAAGTATAAACATTTTGCGATGGCCTAGTCATTAAAGCCTTTGTTGGCATCGCAGTTCAAAAATCTCGGGTTCAAATCTCATGTCCACTACCTCACCCAGACTATGATAAATTGAACGGTGTCTCAATATGCGCCGTTCCATTCGTCCCATTTTCAATGCACTCATCCTTCTTGTTCCACTGTTGGTAGATATATATCGGAGTTCAATGCTATACCCACCATCTTACGCAGCGTGTAATAAAAGAGTTAGGCAATGCTAAACGGTATAAATAACTATTCCTTCAAAATATATTAGTCCTTGCTCACAGGAAGACTTGTAAAACGTATAATATACTTCAATTGGCGTTGTAGGGAAAAAGGCGATGAAGATCAAAATGATATTCCGCCATCGTCGACAGCAGTTAACAAAACCGAGGTAATGAAAGATTCTGATGATAATTCATCAGATCCGGCTATAATCAACAAACGCAATCGAAAGGTAACATTTTCTCATTTCAGTGGGGATTCCGGTCCCAAGAGTGATTTGAATTTTGATGATATCATTGAATGTAATGCCATTTTGATAACAACATACGATGTAAACTTATGCTGAAAAGTAATAAGAAATTTTACAAATTATCTGCTGTAACTTTCTATGCGAGTGTTTCTTTATATTCTTGAGCCGTGTAGTGGAATGGCGCTTATTATCTTCAAATTGATGGAATTGTTTTGTACACGTTCATATCATTTTAAGTACAATTTTTTTGCCATCAGGACTGTGGAATTCAGGGTCAAATTCACATTCGATTTCGACCCTGGCTTAAAATAAATTTGGCTTTGACTTTGGGTTCAGAAAAATTTTGACGTTGACTTTTATTTAAAATAAATTTGGCTTTGACTTTGATTTCAGATAAATTTTGACTTTGACATTCGATTTCGACTCCGGCTTGAAATAAATTTGGCTTTGACTTTGGGTTCAAATATTTTTTGACTTTGACTCCAGACTCTTGAGTTGTAAAAAAATTTGGCTTTGACTTTTGATTCGAAAATTTTTTGACTTTGACTCCGACTGGAAAGAAATTTGGTTTGAAATTTGGGTTCAGAAAATTTTTGACTTTGACTCCGACTCTAGGTTGTAAAACAATTGGCTTTGACTTTGGGTTCAGAAATATCTTGACTCTTCTGGTTTGAAAAAAAAAATTGACTTTGACTTTGAGTTCAGAAAACTTTTGACTTTGACTCCGACTCTGGCTTGAAAAAAGTTTGGCTTGACTTTGGTTTCCGAAAATTTTTGACTTTGACTCCTACTCTGGGTTGTAAAATCTTTGGCACCGACTGTAGGGTTAGAGAATTTTTTACTTCAACCCCGACTCCGCCTTGAATAAAATATGGCTTTGATTTCGGGTTCAGAAAAATTTAAACTTTGACTCCGACTCCGGGTTGTAAAAATATTGGTTTTTACTTTGGGTTCAAATAAATTTTGACTTTGACTCAGACTCTGGGTTGTAAAAAAATTTGGCTTCGACTTTGGGTTCAGGAAAATGTTGACTTTGACTCCGTCTCCGGTATGAAAAAAATTTGGCTTTGATTTTGGGTTCAGATAAAAAAAAAATTGACTCCGACTCTAGCTCAGAGTAACTAAAATACCACAAACTTTCGTCGTATTCAAGCCTTCCTCAATAAACTGTTGAGAAGTCAAGGTAAACGTAACCAGTTTCTGTGGAAACCTTTGACTTCGACACCGCGGAATTCAGATTTTTGACTGTATGGAGTTTGAAAATACGACTTCAACCCCTGTAAAAACATGCCAAACTCCGACTACACCGCCTCGCTTATTATAGTGAAACCTGAACAAATACTAGTTCGTTTACAAGGCCAGTATGCGGAATTCTCTAAATCTTATTTCTTTAACATTTTAGGGCGAAACTCCCCTCCATATGGCATGTATGAACAATCGTCCTGATGTTGTAAAAAGCTTGCTGAAGAAACCTGGGATCGATCCTAATTTGACGGATTACGCTGGATGGACTGCGCTTGGAGAAGCATGTAACCATGGGCATATGGAATGCGTGAAAGCTCTTTTAGAACTGCCTCTGCAAACAGAGATTGACGTAAAAGATGGAGGTAATACACAGTTGTTTTTTGTATATTGAAATTTCATTGCATAATTTGTTTACCAATATTGTTTGCAGAAAAGTATGATACTTTATACGGAAACAAACTCTATTCATTGAAATCTAAAGAAATCGTTTGTCTTTTTGTAAAATATCTTATCATAACAGTCACGTTTTGATAATTATGAAACACCGATTAAACTTTACTTGATTTATTAGATACGAAATTTGGGGTCATTTAAGGGTCAAAATGGGTCGTTCATTGATAAGGTAGAATGTTGCTGTTGTGTGAAAATGGACGAATCAATTTCAAATTTCAGTAATTGGACATGGGAGAAAATGCTAATTTTGATGTTTCTACATAACCTTTGACTTCCTTGTCCATATTTTATCTTTCTTGTTTATCATCTACTTATAAATGCATATTCATTTTTGATACAGACGACAGTAAGTCTTCATTATGGATTGACGTAACACTGTGTCCAGTTGAAGGACAAACGCCATTGCACGATGCACTTGGAAACGGACATCTTGATGTAGCTTGCGTCTTGCTTCGAAAAGGCGGTGTTCAGCTTTTAGACAAAGCTGATTTAGAAGTAAGTTGCTCGGCTATTTTGTTTATGTCCCCTGTCGAATAACAAATTCCCTATGTTCATTAATCCACGTAAAATGTGCGGCACGACGGAAATTTACATCTAGAAAATTCTGAAAAAAAAAAGTTCAAAAATCATGACACCGCAGAAACCAATCAAGTAAAATAGGCCCCCTGGTGTAGTTTGGGATTTTATTCGAATTTGTATTCTGGGTCCAATATTCCCTAGAAAGAGTTTGTCATAGGTGGACTATTACTAGTACCCCGATTCTTTACCCCAGGTGAGGTAGACACTTTATGTGAGAAGGGAAACTTTAACTGATGGTATATCAATGTGTAGGGCCTTTAAGCATATGTAGTAATGTTTGCTCATCGAACACGAAGTGGAGCTATCGATCGTTTTGCTATTATGCTGTTGTTGTCCTTGTTAGTATTTTTCTTCTCGTTGTTATGACAAAAAAATCGTCTTTCTCATTTGTAATGAGACCAAATGGTTTTCAGTCCCTAAAAATAGTTTTTTTGGCTGGAAGCTCTTTACTTTTATTTGTTCCTAAATTTCCTGCTGCAGAATTTTTAATTATGGGAACACGATATTATTACGGCTGTAATGTAATGTAATTAATGGCTGTCTTCCATGTTTTATGACATCGTGACGGTTGGTACCGGCAGTCTACTGTGACAAATTGCATATGACGTTTTAGACTTCGTGTCCATGTTTTTGAACATCGCTCTGTTGTATTAATTCTATTGACATTTGATCTAGTACTTTGAGGCTCAACATTCCACGCCGTTAATATTCTGTTCTTCCCTAGTGTATACATGTCTTGCTGTTTTTTCCCCAAAGTAAATACCTTGTATTCTTCTGGCCTAGGAAGATCGGTGTGTTTACATGTATTCTCTTTCTTTCAGGACCGTACACCATTGGACTACTGTGATTGTGATAACTCTCGTTCGTATATGATAGAATATGCATGTAAAATTGCACAGGAAACTACGGGAGAATACCAAACCACAAAAAAAGTACTTGAATCGAAAATAATGAAACTGGCACCGAAGGAAAGCTACGAGAAGGTTGTTTTATACATGTCATATTTCCTAATTATTCTGCTATACTCACTGAACACAATTCGACATGTTTTCCCAGTTAGGTGTAAATAAAACCAGCCAGAGACGGTACCAGCAATTTGGAGGGGTATATTTGATGCATTTCTAATTCGGTTTTTCTTCCTTTATACTATTATTTTACTTTTTCTAATATTTTATTTAGGTGTTACCTCGCGATGCTGTTCTCGAGTCTGATATTTGGAGAGATCGTATTAGATGGTATTTCAAAGTCACGTGCCTTCTTTTATCCCATTACGTATCTTCCGGCGGTTACGTTCATGCCTGTATGAAGATCGGGCCTGACTCGGAGAGAGAATTAGATTCGCCAACGAGAGTGTCAAAGAATCGTGACGAGTACGTTGATGACGTCATAGTTACCGATGATGACGATGCTATTTACCAACCTGAAGATATGATGACGTCACGACCCATTTCACGCATCCGAATTAGCCGGAAAGATATACACCGGTACGCTAACGACGTTTCCATCTGCTTACAATGGGATGAATGCTGGGCATTATTCGAAAAACACATTAAACGACTTTTATCTGATGACATAGAAATAGCAGACGAAATTTTTTCCGATGAAATCAACCCAGTTCCAACTGACCTGATTCCGGATATTTCGACCGGATTTACCAAATAACGTTTACGTAATAAATCAAGTTTTTATATTATTCTTATCAACTTTGCAAAAATCATGAATATGATGTTGGGGAAATTCTTGGAAAACAAGCATCAGTGGTGCAATGAAATTATTATTACTTCTTTATCTTTGAGTCAAATAAAGTCTCGAAAAGTAAATTAAGTGGTATCCAGAATCTAAACTGGCGGGCCATGTAAGTGTGACGTAAAGAGGTACATTTTATGAACAATTTTTACAGTACAAGCAAAAGTGGAAAACAATAAGCCTCGTGCCAAAACTAAATTCCCTCGCAATCTCAACCAGTTCATTTAGCTAGTTTTTAGCTAAATTATCAAAATTTGGTTTTAGTTTAGTTGTGACACTGTCAGGCGGGCCAGATTGAATTACCCAACGGGCCGGATTGGCCCGCGGCCCTTACTTTGCCCATGTCAACCCTAAATCCTTTTCCCACTGTTCTCATTACAGTTGTTGTACTGTTTTCCAGTTCTATGCTTTTTACAGGTGACCGTACATTTGAACCCATGTACATTTGAACCCATGCGTATATCCACGGGTTCAATCTATATGCGGGTGCTAAAACCAATGGGTTAGGGTTAGTATGGGTTTAACTATCCGTGAAACAAAAAAAAATCCATAGGTGCAATAGCATACAGGTGCAATTGTCATGGGTTCAAATGTACGTGGGTTCAAATGTAATGGATACCTTTTTACACCATCTTTCATCACTTTGTACCGTCTATGGAAGATCGTTGCCACATTTTCACTGTGGTTTAGCACAATTTAAATTCAGTGTTTCATAACCTGGGTTCGACGAAAGTCTTGTGAACTTGTTGTGTATTATGATGTATTTCTATCTCCGACCCAATTAAATTTATAAAAATAACTATAATTTGAAGCAGATATCCAAATTTCAACATTCAGATCATTTATAGAATTGCCTATTTTTGTGTAGTATTGCGCAGATAAATGTTTTATAAGACCTGTCAATGAAAGACGTCACGCGCACGTCATTTTTAGATGCTTTTTGACTCCCAAGTATCTAAGGTTGTTATTTAAAACCTCGGGGTTTCGAACCGGAATATTTATAACCTACTAATAAATTTTGCTCTCTCCATCGGCACAACTTTTATAACAAAAAAACATCATTTTGCCACGATTAAGGCTGGCCACTTCAATTTGAATAGGAAATGATTCGAATTGGTTCAGAGCCAAATTTCGAATTGTCGCCATCTTGTTTATTACCTCCCGCCAAAGGTCGATGTGAATTACCCATTTTTTTTATTGTAGCCATATTTTTTCAATGCAATTCTGACATATGACTATTTTCTGTTATGAGTTATTGATAAATAAGCGTTTTGTTATTGTGTGTGAACGCTCCGCAATTGGTCTTAATGATGTATTCTATGTTTTCAGTAATTCATTTGTTGACAGGACCAATTACAATAAGAAAAGTCGCATACAATTACATATCTCCCATTGACTCCCAAGTATTTAAGATTCGATTCGAAAAAAATATTCGATTCGATTCTGAAATCATCAGGTAATCGAAAAAATGCCCAGCCCATCACATTCTGCGGACGTCATTGTGACATAACAATGGTAATTTCAACACGGCGTATTGGTATCTAAGATTGCACCCCAATTTAGGGTGGTTCAACGTTTCTTTTCTCCAGAAACACTCTGCAATTCCGAGAAGTATTTTCATGAAATATAACTTGGTCTGATGACTATATGCAGTATGAATTTACCTGCTCAACTGAACGTGACTCGAATGCGAATATGACATGAGAATTGCTCTTTCTAAAACGAAGCCACGTATCTCTCAGTTGGTCACCGAAAAACAGCAGCAAGGAATGAATAAAGTTTACTATATGTGGTAATTTATTAGGCTACAACGAATGACGCAATCAGGGGTTCTTTCGGTGGTTGATACTCTCATGTCCTTCAAATTTAACTCGAAAAAATCGAGCTATGCTAAACAGTGAGGCAACAAATTCATATACTATTGAATAAACACGGTTTATTTTCTATAAAGTTGTACGACATCGGCTTACCCTTAATAAGTTCAGGTTGCGCTCATGGTTCAAAAATTTGGGGTTCGACGGGAACTTGCGAAATAGCGTAGGGGTTCGGCAGGCTCACAAAGATTAAAAACCACTAAACCTATACATCATCATTCATCAGATATATATTCTGTAAAATTTTGGGTTTTGGCAAATGATTAGGATAAGCCTACGAAGTGGGATTCATGCAATTGCCGGACATGTGGAGAACGGCTTTTCTGAACACTTTCAACAAAAGTCCAAAAAATGTTTGAACAAAAAAGATTTGTGGCCAAAAATACAATTAAAATGAGATTCGAAATCGACGTTGGTCATGAAAAATTTATATATTTAAATCAGTTGACCTAATCCGAAATGTTCAAGATATTTTTTTTTGTGGAAAATTGCAATTTTTGCAATCGATGATTTGCGCTCTATTTTTATAATCAGATGTAGCAATGGCAGCCCAATAAGCCATCCATGGCGAAAGCGACAATTGGCCACATATCCATCTCTGCTCCAAACTTGGCTGTTCATGCTTGCCATCGCGACATGATCTATTGCATCACGACTTAAATGAGAATTGGAAGCTAAAAATAACATTTTAGAAGTTCACCTATAACGCTCTATGTCTATGGATGTCAGGATCATATCCGAATAGATATTTTATATTATATTTACCTTAATTTCAAACAATATCGAACAACATAAATGGATCTTTTTAGGTAAAATCATAATTCATTATGATTATGTAAAATTATGGTTATAGTGAGCAGGTAAAAATTTTCATTAAATTTATAAAACTGCGGGGCATGTGTCGGAGGACAACATGTATGGGACATCGCCATGTCCGGCTTATATCTATCTTTCAAAATAAGTCGAAAAACTCATCCTATAGTAGTTCTGATCCGGCCGACATTGTGACATCGCCATACCCCTGTAACCTTTCAGTTGAGAGCAATAAAGATACTGAAGAACCCGAACTACCTGATCCATGTGAACAAATTTTAATCATTTTTTGAGCGTATGTGTCGATTAATAACTGTGACAGAATGTTGGTGTATACATTGTGATGTACGTGACAAAGAAAATGGAACAGAATATGCTATGCACAAGGTGTCCGAACCTTAGTGACTAAAACAAAGAACTTTTGTAATAATTCTACCTCTGATTGTGTATGAAAATAACTAAAAGTCCAGTAATCTAGAACACTTTACGCAACAGATGTTACGTACTCTATTTGCTCCAAATCACCTGAGTACATATTACTAACCAGTACTGCTACATTCGTGCCTATGAATTCAATTTTTTTGTCCTTTACAGTAAGGCGACGATAAATGCAGTATGCGGGCGCAATAAACATGCAACACGGACAACAGAGTCTCAGAGGTTTCGGATTACGACACAGGGGGTTAAACTTGGTGGAATTTATGATATAAAATTTCCCTCCTTTTGAGGAATAATCACCGCTTGCATTTTCGAAGACAATCACTCTATTCCATAGCCGCATAGCTGAATCGAAGCTTACTGTGATACAAAAGCGTTTTTCTTGTTCTATATATTTCTCTGCTTGATTGAAAGCCTCCTTTATTTTATCTGAAACTCTCGGATGTTTCGTGTTGGCCATCATAATGTATTGTTGCGTAAAAGTTTTCCACCCACAAATTATAGGTATTTCTCGAGTCAAGACGATTCTCTTATAAATAGGATAAGTTAAAAATCTCTTTTTTGCGGCTTCAAGATCTTCTCGGTTCTTGACGACAATCTCTTTTTTCATAACATTTGTGAAGAGATCGTCACATTTGGCCATCCTAAATATATTCGCTTCTGTCGTATCGGACTTCAGAATAAACTCGCCTTCGACTTTTCCGGGTAATTTTCGAAAATGACGAGGAAGATCAGATAAAAAATCTTCAACAGTTGAAACAGCGATTTCTATTTCTGGAAAACGTTCTGCGCCATCCATTTTGTTTAACTAAAATTATTAGATAGTCGATGACCTTTTGTCAATAAAAAAAAATAAAATTACTGTAAAATATTGTAAATCTCCAAAATTTTACATGTAAACTTCCAGACAAAACAGTTCTATGCCAATATGTTTCCAAGAACCTCGTCTACGTGATTTTCTTGTTTTTTTTTCTGATCTTTTTGACTTAAATTTCTCGTCAGTCTGCGTATGCTGAAGCGCAATGTACTATACCTTAATTCTATATAATGTCGGTACTTTTAGGGCAATAAATGTCTACTTTTTTACAGATTAAACTGATATTTCCCAGTTATTAGTACAAAATCAACTATTGTTATAAATAACTTTATAGTGATATATCCAGTAAAAGTTTTTGTTCGAAGTATAGGGATGGAAACCGTACTGCCCTCTCCAGTAGTTGGTTTAACTAACCCAACGACCAGCCCGTAGAAGGATTTCGATTTTTTTGTGCTCGTTATTTCGATTAACACTCTATTTGCTGAATCACAAATTATTATTCCTAACATGAAGGACTATAATCGATATGAGTGTACGAAACCTGTGATTGCCTTTTTTAACGCCAAATGTTTTTGGCGGTGTATCAATTTATAGAATATAGTTTGAGATCACTAAAAGTAGATTAATTTCTCCAATTGGGGAAATTCCTATTGTTGAGATTCGTTCCTCATTTTCAGTATATATATTTTTAATCACATTGACACATTTTTGTTATTTATATCCTAATCAAAAACTTTTTGTTTGTAATCATTTGTCAAACGTTGAAATAGTGTGATCAATAACAATGATATATATAGCAATATAACGACGAGATAACGTGATCAATTGACGGCTTCTGTTCAATGAGAGATCTGTAAAAACGTGTCCCACTCACGTGTCCCGCTCACGTGTCCCACCCATACATTTGCACCTGTATATCCGCGGGTTCAATTTATATGCGGGTGTTAATAACCATGGGTCAAGGTTAGTATGGGTTCAAATATCCGTAAAAAAAAATTTCCATTCCATGCAATAGTATGCAGGTACAATTGTCGCGGGTTCAAATTACGGGTACAAATGTACGTGGGTGCAAATGCAATGGAACCGAATAGGACAAGTGTGGCAAAGATGGACAAGGGGGACAATTAAGATACAAGTGGTACACGACATTTAATTTTTAATTTTCACTAAGTCACCGGCAACGGATATTTACTTATTGGACACGGAGTGGACCTATGGATCGTTTTGTTTGGTATATTGTTGTTCTTGTTGGTATTCTCATAATATTGTTATGAAAAATAGCATTTCTCTTTAATTACTGGACCAATAGATTTGAAATTTTCAGTGGTTATTGAAGATTGATTTTTTGCTGGAAGGCTATTATTTTGATTCATTTCAAAAAATTCTTTGGGATTAAAAGATTCATTTTTTTAGTGCGATGACGCCATCAGAATAAAAAATATCGCTCCTTCAGGCGATTTCATCTTCTTTCATCAACGTTGCTCTGATACAAGAAATTTGCCCAGATGTTCTAGTGGAGGATACGGTACAACCAGACGCAGGTATGAATACAGTTCACCAGTATATTACAGGGTTTCCATAAAGTCCTAAAATGTTTTAAAATTTCAAAGGGAATTTATCGTTACCATATATTGTTTTGACCCTCACAGATGTATTAAACGAAACAACTAACAAAATAAAAACACGATTATTTTTCCGCGACCAAAACCTTAACATGAAAAATACATTTGTCCAGATAAGTGTTCTTCAAAATGTCTCACATCCTTTCCCTACTTATGTTTATAAAGCTTGTTATTTCATTGTTCGACTACTTAAGAGACAAAATTAGTAAACGTAGAGTTGATATCATGAACTAACACACCAAATTCAGAGTTGTCTTTGGAACCTATCACTTCACGAAATATGCAAATGATGCCATCTGTTTTACAAGGGTAGAAAAGAAATTCTAATAACACGTATGTTCGTGATGTAACTTCGGTGAGCAAACTAACTCGTGCTATGTTGTGGGTTGGGATAGATTTTGGTATAAAAGACAAGAGTATTCATATGTAGACTTATGTGAGTCCATACCGGAGACGTAGCCAGGAATTTCCCCCCCTCCCCTCCCTAATTTTGGTCACCTAGACTGGCGGGCCATGTAAGTGTGATGTAAAAAGTTACATTTTATGATCAATCTTTACAGCGCAAGCAAAAGTGGAAAACGATAAGCCTAGTTCTAAAACTATATTCAATCGCATTCTCGACAATTTAGCTGAAACATCGATATTTGGATTTAGTTTGGTTGTAACGGCAACAGGCGGGCCAGATTGATTACCCAATGAGTCGGATTTGGATTTGTTGTACTGTTTCCAGTCCTCTCTTTTTCACCTCATGGTTTACCACTTTGTACTCATTATGGAAGGTTGTTGCCACATTTTTATTGTAGTTTATCACAATTGAAATGGAGGAATTTACGCATTATATAGGCTACTGTGACTCCGACTTATTCTCGAACTCCCAGAAAGTCAAATTTATATAAAAATAAAATTTGGTTATGCAAGCTCTCTTTAATTGACTTTTAACAACGCTCAGTAAACTTGATATTTTGGTAGAAATGTTTTTCTACTGGTATCACCATTTAAAAGTATTCGACTTCAGTGAAAAACTCCGCCCCACAGGCCACAGTACTGATTTCGTCTTCATCACCTCGCTTTTACTCATCCGTGTGGTGACACTGAAGAGCACTTATTTGTGGCTTGGAATTTCGCCTGCGGATCAATCGAGCAGCGGATATTTATAAAACTAAATCTTAACAAATTCGTTTGCCACTACAAAAAAAAACTTCCTTATCGTTTTGACTCTAAAACACCAGTCATTCCATATTTTTATGATATTATACCGTAAAAACATGGAAGCTCTCAGGGTCATGATATTTTGATTGAATGGTACTCAAGGAGGTTCACCACAAGAAATTGTAAAGTTTGTTGACTCAGGCGCTTAATTCCTAACGAAAGCACTTTGATTTATATTGAACGGAAAACGCTAGAGATATCATTTACCTGAAAACCAGTATTAGAGGTGAACTACTTTTGAGATTGAAGTGGCTGATTTTTGATTTTTTGGAAAAGAGGTCTTGATATTTCCATGTTGCTTACGCCGCATATTTTTGCGGGTCTTTGAATTTCACGGACTGCTAAAATTAGAATTCGGAGGTACGTATTTCAAATATACAGTTGCGTAGTTTGCTTGTCACTCAAGAAAATTTGAAACCGCGTTTTCTGCGATGAACAGCTTGTAATGATTTTGACTATTTACATTCGGCGTATTTGCTGCTTTGTGGCGATTTTGCATAAATTATAATCCGTTGTTTTTGTTACGGCTTCGAGGAAACGGATTAAGCACAAGGCATAGATTTAGGTTGCTTGGGGTAAATTTTCTTTTTTAATCGCGGCAGGCACTGAACCAACACGATTCTGACACAGCGGCGCCATACGAGCTTTGTTGAGGGCTTTGAAATTTTGTACTAATTGAGGATTTTCATCATTAGAAACTATTGAATCGCCGGTGAAGTAAGCAGTCTAATGGGCATTGTTGTTGTGGTAGGTGGCTACTATTCTTGTCGAAGTAATATTTGCGTGTGCCGGATTTATATAGTTGACAGCATACAAATGAATGCGCCTCGATACATTTCCCACATAGCACAAGCCTAAGAAACTCTCTCTATTCGTTTGCTATATCGAGATTCAGTTTACTCGTACATAGATACCACCACATTATGTTCACTGAGTCGCAGCTTTTTAATTTATACGTAAGAGATATTTTCAGGCTTTTTCATGGGACATATTTTTCGATTCCATCGCATACCGATTTATGCCTGTCACATGGACAGGCCTGATTATTTTATTGCGGGCACTTGCCAAGGTTCCGCTCTTTCTTCGTCGTAGATTCTCTGGTCGTGTGCTGAAGTTGATCGACTTCACACAAAATAATTTGTTCAATTTTTACAAATTCAAACTGTTTTATATTCTTATCAAGCATGTAAAGTTTGTAAACCGTGGGAACCAACGTGATTTAAAAGATTGCAATAGCTTTCTAGTTTCATATAGAAAACCTATAATCTGCTGTTTCTATTATGACACGCGTGTTAGTCTAAAGTTCCCAATTTTCTGCGTCAGTGACCATCAGCTTCTGAACCTGACCTATTGATCGGAGTCTTGATTCAGAGTAAAAATGTGCAAGTCCGTTTTTTATACATCGAGTCAAACTCGTGGAATACATTTTGTTGTGTAAATTTGCTTGTAGTATCTATTTGAACAAAACAATCGATATGAATATGCCTTTCATGTTTAAATTTGAACCCACTCCCTAATTGATAATAATTTTGTAAACAATATTGCCCAGTAAATATAAAAGTGTTAGCCATGAATCAGCCAGTTTTATATGCCATATATATCTACGACATTTTAGCGTTATTCAGGAGAAGGATGAACAATTGTTTCGGTCACCATTTGAACGGACTTTACCGTAGAAGACAGACAATTGCTAAGGGTGCAAATTGATGACTATGACCAAACCGCCGAGTGAGGGTGGCCACATATGTACACTCATCATCATTTCGGTTCCACCATGTTGATTCGTCCTATTTACCTGGAATCGTTGGCTTATACTCACTGACCAATTTCTAAACTTTGATTTGATGTTTTCTCCGAATGTTATACAAATATTGACAATGTTTTGATATCTCTGGTGTGAAGGTTTGTTCAAGCAAGTATTACGTTTCATATCCGACTTTTATGCTTGCTTTCACGATGCGAAAGAACATGTGCCTTTAGTTATATTGGGTCGGTTTCTACGGTGAATTACATTTTCCAAATTTGTTTTCAGAAAATGAAAACAGTCAAGAGATACACGTTCTATATAGATATCTATAATACTGTTATTACTGGTTTAATAGAACGAAAACTTCATATCCAGGTTGTACAACTAACATTTTCTTACCTCGCCTGATGGAATTGGCAAATAGTGTGCAATTATGTTGAGCTCACTAATCCCTTATTCGTGTTCTTAGTTATTCGATTTTGTCACTTCGATTAGCGATTGTTACCCGTTGGCTTTGAGGCAGCTTCAATGATTAAAACAATTAAAGTTAGGGGTGTTCGATTGGAAAAATCGATCCCGAATGCAAAAAGATGGAAGCTGAACTACAAAATAGACTTCATTGCGACGTAGTTGTCCGATGTCACAGCTGACCGCACTCCCGGGATTTTTTTTCATGGGAGTTTTGTTGATGTTGCCGTCGATTGAAGTTTGCCGCAGTCGAACGCCAGATTATGTATGTCTCTTGTTGTTGGTAGTATACGATATCTCGCCATTTGTTGGCCATGAACAGGTGTTTCAAATCTAATTCAATCGTGACAACTTCGAACTGACGCATAATATGTAGGAAAATTATGCCGGTATAGACTGCGATTGAGGATTGTATTTAGAACCTATCACCTTACAATTTATGGTATTTCAGTTTCGTTACTCTCATTTTGTAAATATTTTTGTCAGGAGGCGAAGGTTCGAGAAAGTGGTTATGCTAACATTTCATTAGATTAGGTTTAAATTGGTGTTTAAACCCAAGAAACGTCGATATTTGGGATTTACTGCCGGTATGCCGCTCAGTTATTGGAAACATGAAGTCTTTAACCAACGTTTACCAAATGAAATCATTAACAAAGAAATACCGGATTCTTCTTGCATTTATAATCTTAGCATCAGAACACTTTGTTCAATCAGAAGATCACCTTACTGAGGAAAACAATGGTAAGAAGGAACATTAATAATTTGTGTAAAAAATACCCTGGAATCAAATGTTTTGTAGCTTATTCATATTTGTTTATTTATCCCAGCTCAATGAGTATGATTTTAACCGGCATTGGTGGCGTGACTATGGTATCGATTCAAAAATGTTTACATGGCCTGCCACAGATCTCAGCTTCGGCATTTAACAATTCAAGTCTGTCCTGTTATGGGAAGATTATGGTACCAATCCATGGTAGACTTTGGCAAATTTTGATATCTTCCAGACCAGTAGCTACGCCGTATTTGATTCTCGTTCAAAGCCGAGAAACTTATAGACCCTTATTATGTTAATCCTGTGCACTTATTTGCGGCAAAAATATTCATGATGATAAGTTCCAAGCTATAAAACTTCGTTCATGTTTTATTTATTTGTATATTTATGTAAACAACGAAACATATTTTCAAATGGTTCGGACCTGAGTATGTTTTCTATTAAGAATGATTCAAGTACATTGTTGAATCAAATTATACAAATTTATATACAGTACTGTTATTTGTTTTACAAATTCTAAGTAGACGTGAGCATAAAACTATTATATAACCTCTCCGTTTTTCCTGATTTAAAACATAAATTAGAATTTTACGCATGCTTTTGAAGCAGTACTAATTTAATCAATATTCCGCCGCAACGTTATTATTATTATTCTGTTCAATATTGCGTAGTGCAGTACTCAATGATAAGTCTGAAAAATAATACAGAAGTGAATTACAAACAGCTCGCGACATTTGCGTTCATTGTTCGATGTTCATATCCCATCGGGTCAAAAATCGTGACGAGTATACCGGTGTGTCTCTTATTTTGATGCAGTCACTCGCGCGCGTATTCCCTTGGGCCGGCGTTGCCTGAACCTCCTACATCAAAATATGTTTAAATGTTGTACTTCCCTTTGTTGTCAGCTTAGAATATGTAAGCTGGAGATATGCTTTTGTAACTTTGTAATATAATCTTCAAACTATCTAGAATATCATCAAAGTAACGACATATAAAATACAGATTCTCCTATTTTTAGTTGTTCTGAAATGTATCGGAAAATGAATTTCACAGAATTCAAAGTTTTTCAAAAGAAAACGACTATATAGAGCATTTAAATGTTTCTGGTTACAACTCGATGTTTTGTAAAATACCTGCAATACCTCAGACACGGTTATGATCGTTATATATTCACCTGAATAGGTTTCAAAACTTGCGTGATTCAAAAAGTTTTCAACTTCTAACAATCGAATTTCATTTGTTGATACACCGGAATACTGTGGTCTCGGTTGACCGAAAAACACAAGCAGACGACATGAATTAAAATGTTTAGGTTTCATGAGCATACCATTTACTTTCTTCTGTAATTTAGATCTTGGTTCAAATTCAGAATTTTCAATGTAAATATGAAATTCAGAATATGGTTGTATTTCTTTTTTTATTTCTAATAATACTTCGATTTCTATTTTATTGTGATTCCTACTATAATGTAGAAATGAATACTTCCGAGTTATACACACATGCGTTGGTAGATTACTCCGACTCATTTCTGAAAATGTGCTTTTCTATGCCTGGGACATACCCCATACTGCACGACTTGATAGACGTACTCGCGATACTCTTACCTTTGGGATTTCTATTAGTTGTTTATATTCTAATTTAGCAAGTGATGTAAACGCAATTAAATTTCCCGTAGTCATTTTGAACACACTCCAATAAAGATTGTGACACCAGCAATCTAATTAAGCTTGGTTCATACATATTTAACCTGCTATTACTTTTTATTCGAGTGGTAACCACTTTTGATGACGGGTACATCAAGTTTCATTTATCGCTCTATTTTATCAATAAATAGTCATAATAACAATAATAAAACAACTTGAATCGCGCAATAATAAAATCATATATACCCAAAAAATTTTGCTCATTGGAAAACTGTTAATATAGAAAGAAAATTATGGAAAAAGTCGCCTGTCCAACTAACTTTTAAAATTTCATATTTGTGTAACATTGTGATGACCCAAGGCCTAAAGCGCATCATGCCTAATGCACAGAATGTAAAGCACGGTAATTGTTCAACGCGCTGATTAATTATAATTAGTCAAATTATTTTAAAACCAAGTTCGTTGATATTTCTTAGAAATCATGATTTAGTTAAAAACAAGTTCATGTAAAGGGGTTGTATTCGTGGTTGAATCTATTTTTTATCTTCTGATACTTCAGTCAAAATAATTTATTTTTAAATTGCCTGGTCGTAAACTTTGTGGATTTATCCAGGGATCAAGCCGTAAAAAAATTTTTTTACAAGAAGATTCCATATCCGGACTGATAAGATTTAATTTTCTTGGCTTGCAATTGATGACATTTCAATAGCCCTGTTTACGACTCAATGAAATGTATCACAATAAATATCAGACTAATATCTTGATATTTCAGTTTTGAAAAAATGTCCATGATTAAATATAAACTAAATCATTTCACGTTCAACAAATCAAACATGAATCAGATATAAACCAACACAAGGCGTTACAGAATTTATTTCATCGATTTAGACCCATTAGCTCGCCATGTAATAGACTTTTGTCGTTTTGGGGCCAGATTTCATCCACTATGTGAAAAGGCAGGTCGCATTTTATACGTTCCGTAATTAAAGCTGAAAACGACGCAATAATCGAGGAAGGCCGACATGCATAATTCAAGAGCGAGGACGTCGCTTGTCCCAGCCGACCCTTTTAAACTCTAATTTACAATGCCGCGTTTTCTCCATCTTTCACGAAAATCGGAACACTGATTCATTTATCGCCGACAAACCTTAAAATAATTACTACGTCGTTCATTGCGTAAAATTTGAGTTATATATAAAAGATGGAAGTACCTCTACCTTGTACGTTTATTTACGCAAAACAGTTTCTAATAGATTAGACGCTGTGGTTAAACTTTGTCAAGAGACGAAAAATCTCGCAATCCGTGGTTTTAGTTAACTTCCAATTACGCTTGGAAAAATAATTGTGGGACAGCGTTTTTTCGTTCGATGCTAAATTGATTTGAGGATTTTTTTCATTCCCATGCGCACAAAAAATAGACCATTCATCTGTTTCATGGGTAAAAAAAGTGAAATTACGATTAAAATTACTTTATGATGATTATTCACTCTTTTAACACATCATTTGGTTTGAAATGTGTTTTATATCATGAAATTATAAAATGTAGACGACCTTTTTACTTTTAAAATAAATTGGCTTTGAAAAGGGTATAAATACATGTGATATATAGGTGGCTATGTACTGTATGTAGTATTAAATTTTGTATTTTTTTTTTAATTTGCAACGCGTTTTATCATTTCATCGTAAATAATAAAACTAGAATATATGGGGAATTATGAAAATTTGTTTTGAACTTCTTTTCACATTCCACATTTGAGAATTGTTTTCTGTAAATTTCATGGCCCAATTATTGATTTTTATACTAGTTGACTGAAAAAAAAAATCATCTGTTAAATAACATTTGTATCTTTTATTTACCAACTCATATCGTTAAGATATATTCTTTTGATCCATATTCTTATGTTAAAGTACAAAAAGAAAGGGCATGTTATATATATTATTAGCTTTGCTTCATGAACTAAAGAAGCTCTGAAGCATGAAATATCTTATTTGATACCCTTTCCATAATTATAATGTGCCCATGTTAACTATTCAAAGTACATTTTGATGAAGAGGTTTTCGGACATAATCACCCAATTTCAATCTATATGACAACTTTTTACTAGTTATAGTTGCCCGAAGCTTAAAGGTCCATAAGGACCATAACCATCAAATAAAAGCGGGGAGAGTAATGATAAAAAAAATTGCAAGCAGCAGTTAAATCTCTAAGATGTTCTGGTGCAGGACTTCGGTCGGTACCGTGATTGAAACAATTCTGTTTCAGTTCATGTTGCTGGAAAAATCCGTGTAGCATTAATTAAAAAAATAGACCTGTTGGAAGGGTGAATGAAATATCAAGAATATAGAATAATGGAATTTTAAGAGAAACCGAATAAATTTGAAATATATATCTTATTTTTCGTTGGTTTCGGCATTATACCAAATGTACCTTGTTAGCGATCCCTAAAATGTCTTTAATAGTGCTATGAGGCGATTGAATTTGCAATTTTGCATACCCCCCTTTTTTAAAAAGTCCCTTCTATTCTGTGTCAATTTTGTAGTGCATTTCTTCTGAATTTTCAGTCCATTTTTTTCCATTTCTATTTCTCCCTATTTGTGTAATTTTGAAATGAATGTCGAAGGTTATATCAGGCACTGTAATCTTATTTTCAATTTGGCATCATCTAATCATTTTTTACTCCACAATTGGATTTAGTTTCAATAATACAAAATTAGCCAAAATTGAACGGACGAAGAACACTATATTGCACTCTTTATTAAATTAGATGAAGTTCACGGCCGCACTACGCTTGATCTATATAGTGCAAAAATTTCAGTAAATTTTAAATACTAGTTGCAAGTATTTAGAAATAAATTGAATGTTCTATTGTAACAAGTGCATGTATGTATGAATAGTCCTATTCAATAAGATGATTATAAAATTCTAATTGACTGTATCACTCTTATAACAGTATTCTGCATTACTGCTTTTTTATTTAATTTGTTTAGCGAGGCTAGCCGCATGCCAATATAAACTTGACTTTTGTTGTCAGAAAATTAGATTTATTTTTCCCTGTGATTCGGTTAGTGCCAAAATTTGGCTTGATTAGACATTTATAATAAATAAAAATGAGAGACGACAAACTTAATTGTTCTTTTGACCTGTGGACTTAGGGGGAATGCATTTATGTTCAATCTGACAGAGTCTTATGTTCTCACTATATATAACATGTCATTGATAAGGTGTTGTTACATAAATCTCATTGTAAAAATTATTACTAGTAGCTTCAGCCGGACACAAAAATAGCCGATAGCTCTCGTAATTCAATTGCAAAATTAAAAATAAT